TAAGTTTCCCAGCCAACCAGTGCATACAGATACATACTTGTTTCTCCACATCCAGGAAGAAAATCAGTTCTTGGTGTAAGAACAAATTTTCTGACACATTTATCATTTATCACAAAGCTTTTAAATTATTGCCTTTCAAAAAAAAAAAAAAGAAAAAAAAGAAAAAAAAGTTAATTCAGCAGCAGAACCACCATTTTAAGGACAACTCTTTAGAAAGGACGACTCAGAGCCTGCCTTTGTTTTTGTGTTAGCAGCTAAAAAGCATGATAAGGCTATCAGTCCTCTTTCCGTACATAACTGGAAATTATGAGAAATTTCATAGTTAAATTTTGTGATATCCCACACTTGAGGGAAAGGGACACCCAAGATTTGCAAATGTTTGTAGTTAAAAGGAAAATGTCAGAGGGTCTGCAAAAATGCACAAAATTTTATTAATAAATTGCCCACTTGGCATAGAAATCAACATGGTAGTACTACTATTTAGGCACATAGCAACGTGTTTTAGGTAAAGGGGTGAGATGAAAAAGAAGAGAGAAAGAAAGAGATTAATTAAAGGCAAAGAGAGAGAAAGTGAGTGAGAGATAAAGAGAAAGAGAGAGAGAAAGAGAAAGAGAGAAACAGAGGGAGGAAAAGAGATCATTAATTCTGGTTCTAGTACTGATCCATGGACAGGATGTCCAGGGTCCTGGGGTGCACATGAAGGCTAGTTGGGGGTACTCATTTATAAATAGGTTTTCCCCATCCTGAATATAGGTTTCTCACTTTCTATACAAACTAGTTATCATTCACAGTCTGTTCTTTCAGACCCTTCTGGAAACGTGTCAGAGGGCTTCAGGGGTCTTTGGTGGTCTTCATCCCTCCTACAGTCCAATGTTCAACTCTTGGTTTCATTGTTGTGTTTGTGCTGTACTGTGTTGTTCCAGGGACTAGAACAAGGGTATTTGTACTGGAAAAGTGCTGCCCTACTTCCTTATAACCCCCTTCTCCTGACACATTCTTCCACGTGATGTGTTATTACCAATTATCCTTGTCTGTTATTACCAAGGATCCTTGGTTGGCTTCACTGTCATCTGGCTATCAGCGTTTGAGACACACACATTAGACCCTTATCTTCTGGGATTCTACAGATTTCTTCTCCTAAATCAGATAATGTTTTAAAATTCTGGGATTTCTTCTGGAACAATTCAGTATATAAACAAGTTGTTTGTAAAATGCTGGATTAACATGATTTTGCAAGACTGGGCGTGGCAAGATGTAGCAGCTGGTCCAGTACATCAGAATTTAATACACAGATTCTTGAATTTTGCTGTAAGGATTATATGTATCAAAGATATTTGTGAAAGAAGGAAATAGCATGTAGTGCACTATCCCCTTTGGAAGTAATAAGCAGTTACAGGATATGATTAAGTATCATCTGTTTGACAACTGCAGTGTTAGATTCAAACAAAAAGAATACATTAAACTTCCCTACCAAAAAGAAAATATTAAAATTCCCTTTAAAATATTAAACTTACCTACCATACCTACCTCTGACCTATAAAATATAATTTAAGTTATTAAATGAAACATTTTCCAGTAATATCTGTTGTTTACAACACATATTTCAAATTTTCTCAGAAAATAAGATTACAAGGATTCAAATATCTCTTAAGATTTGCACATTCTTATTTTTTCAGAATGTACTACCATCTTTTCTCTGTGCAGCACATCTTGAAGCTTACTTGATTTGTTCTCTTTTTTGCCTCTGCCAAGCACTCTTCTCAGCTATTTAATCTTGTATGAGCACATTTCATCCATGCTGGCTTTCTTTTCTGCTTATCTCTGAAACTGTTTTGTAGCCTATAGATGTATCATCATCTAACATATTATCTACCTAAAGTGTTTTATCCATGCACTGGGCTATAGAGTCCTTGATACAGAGACAACAGGTAGTCAGCATGCAGCTGATGTACACAAAATGCAGCCAGGTCTTTAAAAGTGATTTTTAATTTTGAAGCATTCAAACAGACAATTCGTAGACTTCAGAAACAGAGGATGCTGAGTATGACCATTAAAATGTAACAGCCTGAAAACGACTGGTGCTAATGTTGATGACAATGGTAGTTGCTGGAGTTTTGACCATTGCTGTGCTTATTCTGCACTAAGACAGGAGGGATTTTTGTCATAAGAAGACTAATCTTCAAGGACTTGGGTTTTCTGAAGGCTCAGAATCAAATCCCAGGTATCATAAGAGGCTAGGGCTTAAACAACCTCTTTTATCTCCACTGGTGAGCCAAATATCATTTCAGTATATTATTAGGTTTACATTTCTTGTCTAAAAATAGGATGGATACCTATGTTCTCAGGCTTCTTACCTGTAGGTGGTTTATTCTACCTCTGCTCTAATCTAAAATCCAAAGAGTTAAAGACACGAAAGTGTTCACTTTTTACACCAAGAGTGGCTTCTGCTGATTTTTTGCTTTAAGAGTCTGTGAAGTTAAGTGAAAGCAAAAGAATATATTTTTGCAGCATGTATCAATCTTCTGGTAGTCTTTGATCTCTTTAAGGGTATTCATGGTCTAAATGACTACCACACTTTTATACAAATAACTGAAACCTGGATTTGAAATAATTGACACCAAAGGGAAAACACGTTAAAAGTGGTAATCTCTATTCACCACTTAATTTTTTTCCAGTGCCAACACTTCAAAGGTAAACTAATCCTTATTTTTTTCTTGAAAACTAATGATTTTTGACAAAGTTAAGACATTTTATTATAAAAGCAGATATGTATACACTCTTCACAAGGAAGACACTTCAGAAAGTTTTAAGAAAAAAAATTGTCAACAAAACCATTGCCTTAAGAATTTTTTCTTACAGTTTACTTATAAGATTTTTCTTTCTGATTTCAAAGCCATAAGTGAAATTAGAAAACTCAAACCAGCCCAGACCCAAAAACCTGTAAACCACATTGTGCACAAGTAAGGCTTCTGAAAGTCTGCAAATAACGTCTTTACCTCTTGTGAATTTGCCTTTTGCAAAACTTCTGTATTTTGTCATAGAATCACTTCTCCTCTATACACTAGGATGAACTCTTGATTGATACATTTAGTAGGGGGAAAAATGTGGAGGAACAGCTTCTACTGTCTTATGTAAGTAGATGTGGTAATAGAAAAGGGTATACTGGGATTTATTCTTGCTAGCTCTGCTAATTTTCATGGACTAGATCACATTCCTAAGTGCAGTGTAATACACAAAGTTAATCAGAATAGTACTGCACATAGTCCTTTGCAAGATACTAAGTTCTTTGTAGATGCTTAATGAGGCATATCTTATTAAACTCTCTGCCTGAAACCAATTTATGAACAAATCAGAGAGAATAAGGCATCTCAGAGCCTCTGTGGATTAGTGGGATTGAGAGACACCCACATGGGATTTCCTGGTCACTCTGTCAGATATGATGGTAAAACTTCTCCCTTATGGGCTTGTCATGAAAACACTCTCTAGAAAGGAAAGACATGACAAAATATTTACATATATCATAGGTATGACAAATTCCTTTGAAAATGAATAGTGATATCACCAGTGGTCATTTCCAAAGAGAATTTCTTCATAAGTATGTCAAAGGGTAGTGAGGTCCTGAGCAAATTAGTTTTAGCTTTTCCCCTTTTTCTCTTCAACTATATTTACTTAAAATCATAATTATTTAGATGGTAGAGAGCAGCAGCGTAAGAACAGAAATTCAAAGCCTTTAACTAAAACTAACAGCAAAGAATTGAAAATGGGATAGAATGTAATTAAATCACATTCAATTCTTAAATAATATGCATTCTTTTATTCACAGATAATGCATTGATTTCACAACTTTAAAGCAAAGTAGCTCCTTAATATCAGCATTTGACATACTAGCTTGTAATTCAGATGGGATTTTGCTTCCATTTTTATAGGATATTCTATATCCCAATTATGCCTTGGGCACTGCATCCAAGAGCACAAACAGCCTGTAAAAGATGCCACAAAAGTGGTACTTGCCCAGTTTTTTGGGAAGATGTTCTATATACACCAGACAAATTTGATCAGACTGTTTTTTAATTAATTTATATTTCATTTACTGATTGTAAAAATATTGTAATTAAAATGAGTATCAGAGGTAAAAATTCAGAGAACACTTGCTGGAATGGGGGGCACCAGAGTTCATTTGCTTCTGATTGCCATCACTGTGTTACAAAACATTTAACATTTAGAAGCATCTGCAGGTTTCCACATTGAGCCTTTTTCTTCACTGATGTAAACAATATTAAAGCTCTCTTAGTAGTTAGAGATGTGATACTGGGCTTATTGTTACTCTACTGAGATGCTAACTGAAAAGAAGTGAAAGGAATAAAGTTCAACAAAAGTTTTGAGAGATTTCCAAAGAAAAAAGTGATTATAACTTCTCCTTTTTCAAAGGGTCAGTTGTTCAGCAAGGTAGTCTCAGAGGGTGACATTACATTATTATACCAATTTGTCACCTAAATTAAAGCCATTTAGCCTGTTATTTAATGTGCAGCTGCAGAACTGATGTGTTTTATTTTATTTTTAATGTGCTTTTTTATAGATGGGAAAAAGAAAACTCAATACGGAGGTAAAAATCACATAAACTCTAAAGATGTTGCTTATGATAGCAACTATCTCTGGCAAGAGGAACAATAATCTGAACAGATCAAAATGCTCTCTTTTGTTACATATATCTTCTTGGTTAAAAACACAGCAGTAGAGAGATATCCCTTTACACAGATATCTTATTTTCTTTACATTTGTTCTGTTTTTTCTGATAAAGTACTTTCCCTAAAACAGACATAAGTGCATTTGTGCATCGACAGGACCTATTTCGCATGTTGTGACCATGGGTAGTGTCTTCTACCCATGAAATTATGAAATAACTCAATTTATATTGTATATGTTACTGCTTCTATTATTTTATGTATTACTATTTATTTTATTTTATTTCTTATGCTTAAAATATTTAACTGATCTACCAGGAATAAGAAATAATATCGACAAGACAGATGACCATATGGAAAACATGGAGAAATGCAAGACTGCTGCAAGATTAAATATCAACAGCTCTACTCCCCATTTGAATCCAGCTAGAAGCTTGTTCAGAATTTCTTCAAATTCAGGTCTAATTTTAATCTCTTTCTTGCTTTACAATTCAGAGTGCTCATCATCATACTGTGTTAGCCAGAGGCAGTATTTCTATCAGAATGCTAAAGTGCTGTCCTGGCTGGTCAGTCATCCAAATCTGTGCATAGTTTTTACAAATTTACTTTCCTGGAAGAATATATCTTCCTGAAGTCTCTCCCTACCTCTACATTTAGCTTTCAGTTTGGCTTTTGATGACCTTCTAATAAGCACACTCCTTTCATATTGTTTTGCTCCATTTTTAGGTTGTTTTTCATACTAAAGTGTCATTTGTCATGCCTTGGGGTTTTTTCAGCCTCTTTGCTTTTGATTGCTTTACTAAGTTGAGCATCAGTCCTTTATTGTCTCCTTAAAACTCTGTATATTTTTTATATTTTCAAAGAAGCCCATTTATATGTCAGAGAACAATAGTACTGACTTATAACAAAGTTCTGTTCTGCTTTTATTCAAAACAATTGCCATATGTACACAGTCCTATATTCAAATACTCTGAATCAAGGGTAATTGCCCAGGATTTATCAGTTTTATCAAAGCATCCATACACAAACAGGCATATGATGGAGTTTACTTTTCTGTGGGCAGTAGAAGTAGGATTGCATCCCAAGGTGCCAGGCTCCAGGGGTTGCTACAAGCGTTTTTAGAGATCGAATCATATGGTACAAGTTTGTAGTTGGCAGTTGGTGGAGTGAGTTTGGATTAGTCATGAAGGCTCATGGTCCTGCACTTTTCCTGAGTGATCTGATGGCTGGGAAATCCTGAATGGCTACACTGGTCATGATTCAGCATAATCTCATCTTTCTGCTGCTGAAACTGACACTGAGGAAAATGGTGAGACCTTGGACTGAAATTCAGCCCTAACTGTTTCTCATGTATGTCTATTCAAATCGTGTCTTGTAGATATTTTCTGAGATCACTCATGACCTATCAGCATTTCACTGAGGTGTTGTCCTTGTGTAAGTCTTTCTTGTGTGGAATGACAGAAAGTAGTGTCAACCATGACAGAAGAAAAAATCAGCAGGGAACATCTTAGCACCTTGTCAAGGCCACTCTGCAACTTTTTTATCACAGCACAAGAGGAAAACACTACTTTGTAATTATGACTCTCTTATTTTGGGTAGTTCAAGTGAAAAGAGCAACAATAATAACATTTATAACAACTGTTTTCTCCTCTATCTCTTGGAGTTCTTCATCCATGTTCAGCATTCATTTCTTTTTTGCAGGGACCATCACACCTGGAGGTAACCTGGAAACCTGTGCTGTTAGAGAAAAGCTCTAGCTGCTCCTTGGACCCCTCAACTTTTTTTTTTTTACTTTTTTTTTTTTTTTTATATGAAGAAAGAAGGATTTTTTTTTACTTCTTTCACATTTTCTCAGCCATTCCTCTCCTATCAGATGATGGTTAGAAACATGTTTTCCTCAGAAATTTCCTTTGGATTTGAACTAGTCTGACAAATCAGAGTTTAAATTGCAAAATTAAATTATTATCCTAATTTCTTCATCTATGTGCTTAATTTAATTATATTATGTCATATATGAACAAAGCAAGTCTTCTAATTTTTGCATAAAGGAAACCAATAGCAAGATTCAAATTCTTTTTTGTCTGGTCGCAATGTGAAGGTCTGCTATCTGTAAATCTTTCCACAAAAGCTCCTTTTAAATTATCAATGTTTCTTTCTATACACATTAAGAAAACAACCTTACATTTAAATAACACTTGATTTTAATATTTATTTAACCTTTCAGTAAAAATTTTTATTGAATATCATTTCAATATTTTAATTTTTTAACAATAAATAAAATCCAAACCTGCATTTAAATAATGCTAAATTTGTGACGCAAATTGCCTCAAGCCAAGCAACTCCAAAGTCAAATTGAAAATATATTGTTATTTGTATTCCATTTAAAACAAAACAAACCGAAGCCCAAGGATAGAATTGGAAAGAGTTATGAAAGGTCCTGATGTAATAAAAGAAATCTTCTGAGTACATTACAACTGTTATATTTTAATTCTTGTTTAACTTTAATTATTACAAATAGCCACAATTAAATACATTTGGAAAAACCCAGCTTCTTTAACTCTAAAAGCTCTAAGAAATATAAATCTGTGGGCAACCCAAAAAAATCCTGGAATGCATGGAGGATAACTTCTGTCCTGGGTAAACCAAAATGTTTTATTCCATGTATATCTATGCCCAAAATTGTTACTGTCTCTTTAAAGCCAGGTGCTGAGGTCAGAAACAGAACTGCCTGGGGGAGTCCCTTTACAAAGCTGAAGCTGCCCAAGCAGACTTTCTTGCTTTGTGGTCTTTGCCTAAGGCAGAGGCTTTGCTTAGCGTTTGTTTTTTCCCCTTCTTTTTGTTTCTCTCATATTCATTTCTTCTTATTGGTGGAAAGGGATTTGTTAAAAATAAGATCAGGAAACAAATTCTGGAGTTCTTAAACCAAGACAGCTTCCTAAGCCAGGCAATAGATAGCCCTCCCGGAGGGAAAGCAGTGATGGAGATGTGTGTGAGCTGGTTGGGAACGTCAGGGTTGGAGGCAGGCTGGGCTGCTGTGAGCAGACACCAGTGGAGTTCACAGCCTTGAGGAACACGGGGTAGGTAGGGAGGAAAGTTAGGTCCCAGCAAAATTTCAGCTTTTCACGCAGTTTAATAGGACCCCTCGGGAAACTGCTCTTGAGGGTGAGGAGCAGAACAGAACTGGCAGATTATTAAGGATATCTTCTGTAGGGTCCAAGAACCAGTGAGCCCCAGGCACAAGAAATAAGGCAAGGAAGGCAAGAGACTGGCATGGCTGAGGCAAGACCTGTTGGTCGAGATAAAGTACAATGCGGATATGCACCAGCAAGGAAAACAGGGACAGGTACCCCAGGAACAGTACAGAGATACAGTCCCATTGTGCAGGACGGAGGTGAGGAGGACCAAGTCACAGCATTATTTATATGAGGATGTTAACAAGTGGACTAAGAGCTTTTAAAGGACAGACTTTTTTTTTTTTTTTTTTTTTTTTTTTTTTTTTTTGTAAAATACAGAAAGGCTTCTCTTTTACAAAAGTTTACGAAAGAACTTATAACCTTCATGCATGATGCTTGCTGTACTTCTTTGCATGTGTATTTCAAAGTCATCTTTCTGTATTCCATATGCATATAATGACTTCTATACAAGCTCCTAATCATGACTCAGTTTCTTACACATCTCCACCTATATTATGTCACCTGCTTTGTGGCTGCTGCCTTTGACGAGCCTAATTCCTCTGCAAATCCACCAGGTGCACATATCTGTTTTGTATATTGTAGGATATCCCAAATGGGACGAGACACCAGAAACCTATGTTTAATCATCCCCCAAAGAGTTTAATTCAATGACTGAATATATCCACAACCTCCATGTTTAATAAGCAATTGAACATATCCAGATTAACTAGTCTTTATAGATAAAAATAGAGATTAAGACTGCTTTTATGAGGTGAGTCCATAGTGTATGAATGGAAAAATAAGTTATGAGTGATTCACCTGACCTAGAACAGCAGAGAAGTTTTAGAAACGTTAGCTTAGTTTTACATACATACTAACCATGGTATTATCTAGAAGATAAACTTTTGACACTAAATAAATAAACAAACACTATTTAGTGAAGAATAACCTAACTTTTGGTAGTAAAAGCCTGCTAAAGTCTGTTCTGTTGAAGAAATAATTCCTCATTCTTCCCTCAGATACATTTCTGAGAAGACGTTCAGAAAGAATACCTGAACTCTTCCAAAGGAACCTTCACATATATTCTACTCATTTCCTCTCTTTCCCTGTTCTCTGTTAAAATTCAATTCAAGATTTAGTTTGAAGACAGAAAGGTGGCTTTATGTCTATAAGATTTATGTCTTATTTATGAAAATATAAGTAGTGTTTGTTTGAATACTGCTGAAGTTGGAGAGGGAAAGATTTCACGTGGGGGATTTTCCTTAAACTTGTAGCTTTCTGATTATGAAATCAGACCTTGTTACTGTCATTAGAAGCTGCTCTGAGAAGATGAAAAGCATGTGGCAGCCATATATTATTTCACCCAGAATCTCTGGAGGACACTGAAAATGGGAGGAAAGTCAAATCAAATAACTTGACTGATATTAAGTCAATACCTTCCTCAGTTTTACTCTTCTTCCTTTTCTTTCACTTTCTCAGTTGGGATGCACCAACCTAGCATGCACATGGATAATAGATCTTAAATTCATGGAACATCCAGTTTGATTATACTTTGTTACAGAAACTTGATGAGAGCATTAAAGCAGAATCCTAATCAAAGAAATGGATTGAAACTCTTTTCAACTGAGGAAGCACAAAAAGTATTTATGAACTGATATCTCAGAGATATCTTTTTCCCAAATTACAAGTTCTATACGTAAAGTGGATGAGGGATAATATGTTGTTGAGGAATTCATACAGGGAAAAGCTTACAGTGAAAGAGTATGACCAAGTTTGCAAAGACAAACCCTGCAACATTAGGGAAAGCTGCTGCATTTGCAAATTTACTTAAGGTCTGTTAATTTCCTATCACTATAATTAAAATGTTCACATGCTACTTTTTCCATTTCTTCATCTGATACTCTGAGTATGATGAATTAGTCTGTGGCTTTTGCTTAGATTTTATCCATGGAGTCATATGGACTTTTTCTTAAGATATCAATCAGAATGCAATTTAAGGACTTCCCAGACAGCTACAGGGTTGCATGTTCTTGCTGTACTATGGAATAGCAATATCTATGTTTATATAAAAAATAATGCATGAGAAAAAAAGTTGAAATATAGAAATTCAAGAATCACATTTGAGATGACAGAGTAAGGGATAGTTATAGTAGAGAGATAAGCTGCCATTCTTTAGTTGCTCATATTTGATGAATTTTGTTGTATGTCATGAAGCACAACTCTGCCATAGAAAATTTCAGCATAATAGCTTTCAATCTGGCAAAGTTATAGGAAACTGAAAAAAATATTACCCTGCTATCTTTCAATAGCTGTTAATATGTCAAAGAATATCCAAAAATAATTGTCATAGTTTTCCTGTCAGACTTTATACCTTGCAAATAGTTCTCCTTTTTTTTTGAATTGGGCCTTAGGAAATAATTGTACAAAGTATGCTAATGCCTTGTATGTGGTAATAGAGTTCCCACATGAAATATACATCTAATATTTAAAGGATCTGTTGTATACAGTGAAAAAAAATTTTAGAAAGTGTGGGAACTCTTGGCTTGGTTTAGGGGTTTTGTGTGGTGGTAAAATCTCTTTTCTAACTTGTGCTTCTAAAGAAAAACTCAGTAGCCTCTTGCTGTTTGGTCTTAAGGCAGTTTATTGCTAGTTATCTAAAATATTGTCTTTGCAGGCTGCGGCTGTTTGGTCAGCAGCCCAGGCAGAGACCCACACACTCCTGACACCTTCACTGTCTGGTGTTTTCTTTTTCTCTCTCTCCGCCCAGGGCCGCTGCTATCTTTTATATGATATATTATGTGTTCCATGTTTACAGTTTTTCCCCAATACGTACTACCTATGTTACAAGGTGCTTTTCTACTTTAAACCAATCCATAAGTGCCAGCATCACTAAGAACATGGAAGTAAGGAAGAAGGAGGAAGAACAGGATCAGCCCACTTTCCTCCATCTTAGAACTTTTGACCCCCATGTATAAGTAAAAACCCCCCTGTACAGGTGCTAAACCTCCCTTGTACAATACTAAAAATTTTTCCCCTCCACTTTGTAACTACTTCTACTATACTATCTAACCCTTTGTGACTGCTTATTCTACCTTCAAAGTTGGTAACTCATTCCATGGCTCAAACTTAAAATCACAGCTGTTTCCAGCTGCTTGCCAGGATCTAAAATGCTTCTGACCAAGGCTGAGGGACATTTTGAGCTCCGACAAGAAAGCTTATGGAATTTGTGTTGTACTAAAAATAATCAAGCTTTTTTTAGATGAGAGTACTGAAGGGAACTGTGGAAAATGGACCATAATTAAAATTTATAAATTAAATTATTCTACTTTCCAAGGAATTAAAATATAACTATAGTACTTTATGTCATTTTTCTTCATTTGTCTCTAGGACTAATAAAGGAACAGCAGAAAGTGAAGGCTGTGACACTGAATTGAGAGTCTTGAAAATCAGTTCTTTTTTCAGCTCTGCAAATGATTTCCTTCCTTCCCTCCTTCCCTCCTTCCGCCTTCATTCCTTCTTTCCTTCTTTCCTTCTCTCCTTCTTTCCTTCTTTCCTTCTTTCCTTCTTTCCTTCCTTCCTTCCTGCCTGCCTGCCTACCTTCCTCCCTGCCTGCCTCCCTGCCTGCCTGCCTCTCTCTCTTTCTCCCTTTTTCTTTTTCTCTCTCTCTCTGTTGTGGGAAAGGGGAAGAATTTATACCTTGATAAATCTCTGGTCCATACCTGGCCAAAATGGAAAACTGTACAGGAAAACAGAAACAAAAAGAAAAAAAAAGTTAGATTTAAATCTCATCTTTCTAATAATCCCTGTGACAAGAACAGGAAACATTTGATTTAATGCATTTTTAATATTCAGGTTCTAACTTCTGAAATCTCCAAGCTCTTATTTAAACTATGACTTATTCTGACAGAAACCTGTCTATAGGTCTTGCAATCCTTAAATTTTCCTCTTAATAGGTGAAGACACTATGGCATGAATTTCCCATGGTATTAAAGAGTTACAGTCTTGGTCAAATCACGTCCTATCTGGCTTTAAACACAGTACAAAAACCCCTGTTAGCCTCCTCAATGTAGAGGTTGTTGCCATTGATCATGCTAACCCCATGTCATCATGTCCTATTTGGCCAAGGCTTACAGGCAGCTCATAAGCTCTTCTGGTGCCTACCCCACTTTAGGAGCTAAATCTCATCCAAAGCCTCTGAAAATCTGATCTCAAATCCTGGACTAGCATCATGCTGAGACTTGAATTTAACTGAGCTTGTCCAGCATACCTATCTCACCAATCTCTGCCACTTCATTTTT